GAAACAGGTAATGTGACAAATCACTACTTTTTGAGTCATAATTGCATGGAAAATACTTTTTCTCGTGTGTAAAAATTGCCCATGAAAGAAACTTAACTTTTAAAAACAGATGTATTTATTTTTATTGGAGAAGAAGATCCACAGAAAGGAGGAGAGACAGAAAAACATCCATGCACTGATTTACTCCCCCAGTGGCCTCAATGGCTGGAGCTGAGATGATCCGAAGCCAGGAGCCAGGAGCGTCTTCTGGGTTTCCCATGCGGGTGTAGACTCCCAAAGCTTTGGCCCATCCCCGACTGCTTTCCCAGGTTATAAGCAGAAAGCTGGCTGGGTAGTGGAACAGCTGAGACATGAACCAGAACCCATATGGGATCCTGGCGTTTGCAGGGAGAGGATTAGTAGCAAGTTGAGCCAGTGCCCTGGATCCGTACCTGTGCTGTTTCTACAAGGGTTGTGTTTGAACACTCGCTTGCTTACAAGCAGTCTGAGATTTTGGCACTTGCCAGGCCAAGGATGCCAACTCTGAAACTCCCAGTAAAATCCCTGGGTGCTGAGTCTCTAGCCAACTTCCCCAGCTGGGTGCTGAGTCTCTAACCAACTTCCCCAGTTGGCCACGCTCCACACGTGTTGTCATCATCCATCGGGGTCTGTGTGTATGGCTTGAGCGCGCACCTCTCTCTCCCTCACTTCTGGAGGCCAGCAGCTCTGGGGAGGGCCGTACCCAGGTGTGGGGTTCACTGCTTTCTTGACATCTTCACGTGGTGTCTGAGGTGCACTCGTCCCATTCCTGCGTGCTTCATGCTCGGTGCCATCACAACAAGGGTTGAAGTCTCTGCATACGAACTTGAGCGAGACAGTCTGTCAACAGTAGCTGTGACAGTTCCTCACGGAGGGAAAGAAGTGCAAGCAGTATGACTTCTCTCGGACTAGGCTCTGAAGTTTGCGTTGGGTCCCCCCTCAGCTCCCTCCTGTCCACCTTGTCCTTCAGCTCATTTATCCTTTTAGCTTTCATCATAGGAACTCAGAACCATGAGGACAACTTTGGATCCTCTGTGTCCTTCTGGTGAATTGTCAACCCAGGGAATATGGCGGCCTTCTGACACAGCGCCTCCTCAGTGGAATGTCCTTTGGGAGGCCTGTGGAGGACACGGCTCAGCTTCAAAACACTCCAGGAAACATGCCAGAGACAGGGCCCAAGCGTTCCTTCAGGTCATCCTGAGAGTGCTCCTGGGATTGTCACCTGCCTTTTCAACTTCAAGGGGAGCTTGTTAGTTTGCTTTGTTTTCTTGTAAGAAAGTTCTTGAAGTCATCAATTGCCTGGGCTCTCCCGGTTAGCTCAATTTTGATGTTCACCGAAGAGCCCTGCGGAGTCTGTTCTGCTCAGGCCTGCAGCATTCACACCCCACTTGACTTCTCCTCTCACACAAACTCAGCCTTAGGGCTGCCACAGGCCCGCAAACATTGACCTTGGCCCAGCCCTTTTGTTTGTTTATTTGTTTACAATCATGCATTGCAAAGCACAGCCATGTTTTCCTCACCCTGGACCACCTGTCCAGCAGTGTGCATCCCCCGTGATCCTATAACCATCCTAATCTGTGAGGGTGCTCTGATGTTCCCACATACACCTAACAATGCACCTCTGTGTGTGTATGTGAGCCCTTGTTGTTAAGCGACACAGAACTGGTAAAGAATCGCTTCCCCAGGTGTCTGTGCGTTGTTGAGTCCTGCTACCAACTGGGGAAAACATATGTATAGATTTAACCCCATTTCATGTTGATTTTCAATATTCTATGACAAAGTTTGACTCTTCAATGTATGTACGATAGCTTTAAGAAAATTAAAAGGCAAATAACACATTTTCCAAATAAATTGACTGTGTTAGCTGAAAAAAGATTATTAACAACTGTTCTTCTCCTTGGGCACATTGGTCCCTCCTTGACTTTTCACGTGCACCAACTAAGCTATAAATTCTTTATTTGTCCTTGCCTTTAAAGATCATGCCATGCCACCTCTCAATATTCTTACTGTAGTGAGCTGTCATTGAAACAGTAGGAGAAATTCTGCTATTGCTTCAATTTTAGGATGTTTTCGGCCAAGCTTCACAGGATTGGAAATCATGGATTCATGTGAGGATACAAAAGGAAATGGAAAACCAGTTAGGCAAAAAAAAAAAAAAAATCTAGAGGAATTATGCAAATAGCAGCTAGAGGTCAGATATCCACACTTGCTTAACTTCCATAGATTTGTAGTTAAGGGTGTCAGGAACTAACAAAGTTCCTCTATTTCTGATGTTCTGTTTTATTTTCTAGTTTTCTTGGTTTATTTCACACGGAGACAGAGCTCCTGCCTCCGCAGATGCCTTTGACATCTGGGGTTGCTGAGCTGAGACTGAGGCCAGGGAGCTGGGAATTCACCAAGTCTCCCAGGGTGATGGCTGCAGGAACCCAGCCACGAGGTTTTGTATCAGTGGGAAGCTGGAGGATAGAGCTGCAGTCAGGGCTTGGGCTGCTCTGCCCCTCCAATAAGTGACTCGGACTCCCTACCCAATTCCTTTTGTTTTTCTTTTGCTTTTTTATTTTTGCCATTGGTTATGTAGTTGAGGCACGTGTGCCTAGGTGGGTCACTCATAAAGGTGAGGAAAGTTGTGTTATGGAGGGAAGTGGGTGAGACAAGTGTGTGACTGCAGGGAGGGAAAGTGAGGGGCCATTTCTTGCTGTCAAACTATCAGTACCCAGGAATGTGGGGATGGTCATTGGATGATGCCTTAGAGACCCCGATGTGAAACAATGTTCTGAGGGCATTGCTTGAGTGACTTCAATAGTTCTGAGATGCCATGGGCTTCACTGCACCAGGGTCGACAAAATCTTTCCAAAGTCTGTTGGCTGACAAAGTCCACCATGGCACCAAAATCCGTAATTGTTTTTCATAAAGTGTTTTTTTGCATAATATGTGCATATTATGAAAAAAAGCATTGTTTCAAAAAAAAATTGCAATAGGGCCCAGCCATGTTCCTTCTCTGATGCTACGATCTGGGCCTCCGGGAGGTACATCTTCTGCTCCCTGTTGGCACCCATTTGGAGCTGAGCCCACAGCCACGGAAGAGTGAAGGTCAGTCGTACACCCGGGAGGGAAAGGAGAGGAACAGATGCGTAACTTGAAGCTTACCAGATTTTTGCCTGTGTAATCTCTTATTGGAGCTGTGATTCAGTCTCAAACACAATGCTAAATCATGGCTCTCAGATTTTTCCAGCAGAAGCTTGTTGTGTGTGAAGTAGCATCTGTTTCCTTTCACCTGTTGTCTACCAGGCAGCCCTTTTAGATTTAGCCTACACCTCCACCAGGCAGCTTTCCGCGTCCCTGCATTAATTGGGCAGTATTGCATTCCCCTGTAACAAATACTAGCTCTAACAGGACGAAACTCCGTGCCTTTATATCTTTTCATATTTCTTCCAGAGAAGGGGGGTCACCATTGACGTTTTAAAGAAGTTTCAAGTTAACGATACTTCCAATGGTGTTAGGATAGAAACGCTTACTAGTGGTGAACAAGAATAAGATTTGCTTGTTGAGGAGCAGAAATTTGGAGAAAGGGCCCGGCGGCATGGCCTAGCAGCTAAAGTCCTCGCCTTGAATGCGCCCCGGGATCCCATATGGGCGCCGGTTCTAATCCCGGCAGCTCTGTTTCCCATCCAGCTCCCTGCTTGTGGCCTTGGGAAAGCAGTCGATGACAGCCCAAAGCTTTGGGATCCTGCACCCATGTGGGAGACCCGGAAGAAGTTCCTGGATCCTGGCTTCGGATCAGCATAGCATTGGCCATTGCGCTCACTTGGGGAGTGAATCATTGGACGGAAGATCTTCCTCTCTGTCTCTCCCCCTTTCTGTATATCTGACTTTCCAATAAATAAATAAATCTTAAAAAAAAGTTTGGAGATATTTGAAATATTAAAAATAAGCTGTTTATTTGGAATTTTTTACTTAAAGATTTGTTTGTGTAAAAACTAGAGTGACAAAGAGAACGAATAGGAATGGGAGGGGAGGGATCCATGCGGAACTTCCATCCACCTGTTGTTCGTCCCCGCAGATGACTGCAACAGGATGTCAGGTCCGGCTGGGGCCAGGCTCCGGGGACTCTCAGCTGGCGTCCGCGAGCATTGGGCCCTTCTGCTGGATCAGAGGCAGACAAGCCAGAACTTGAACTGGCGCTCCAATATGGGAACCAGCTGTTCCTGCTGTGCCGTAGGACTGACCCCAAGGAAACAGTTTTAATATTGAGTAGTCCAGTGAGAAGCAATCATTTTGTTAATGGAAATCTTATTCGTTTGTTTGTACTAAGGTTTGTTTATTTTTTTGTTGGAAAGACAGATGCATAGAGAGAAGGGGAGCCAGGAGCCAGGAGCTTCTTCCAGGTCTCCCACGTGGGTGCAGGGTCCCAAGGCTTTGGGCCGTCCTCAATTGCTTTCCCAGGCCACAAGCAGGGAGCTGAGTGGTATGCAAACTGGCACTCATATGGGATCCTGGCACTTGCAAGGCCAGGATTAAGCCACTGAGTCATCACCCCAGGCCTTGTTAGCGTGAATCTGAAACTCTGTGTCTGCTAACCCCATTTCTTCCCATTCAAGCCACTACTTTATAGTAGCTGTTTCAATACACTGTTCAAGCGACTATTTTATTGTCAATTTATAATCAAACTGTCGTCTTTTTCTATTTATTTTAAGCATATGTTTAAAAACACTTGTCTCTTTGGAACACAGCAGTCCTAACACTCAAAGTCAGATTGGTCATTTGTATAGAATGTACTATTCACCATCTAATGTGGGAGCCGCAGATGTATCCCTGGGGTGTGACCACCTGAAGCTCAATGACATTTTCCCACGTCTCATTCTGGGGTCGCATCCCATGAAACCATCCTTACATCATTTAGAAGAAGTGGTACCAAGCAGTGCCAGGCAGGTCGTTCTATGGGTTGTCAGCACTCACCGGTCGCTCCTGCCTCTGCCTGGCAGGAATCCTGATCATGATGTCCATGTGCCGAGAGGTTCACGTGTACGAGTACCTCCCGTCCATCCGGCAGACGGAGCTGTGTCACTACCACGAGCTCTACTACGACGCGGCCTGCACGCTGGGCGCCTACCACCCCCTGCTCTACGAGAAGCTGCTGGTGCAGCGGCTGAACACGGGCACCCGACGAGACCTGCATCACAAGGGTAAGGTGGTCCTGCCCGGCTTGCAGACTGTGCGGTGCCCCGCACCCAACCGCGCTGACCGTTCCTCTTAAGAAAAACAAAAAGGCAACTCGCAGGAATCAATGTGCAATAAGGTACTACTGTGAACCTGGCCGTCACACAAGGATACTTGAAGCTAGCTTTTAGACGTGTGCTGTTGAGTCTTTCGATTGTGATTTAGTGGTGGCCATAATGACGCTGTTTCCCTGAATGTTTATTATAGCTTTGACTATGGAAATGGATTAAAAAAAAACCCTAAGGATGAGAAAAAAGATCATTAGAAAACAAATGTATAACCGTGAGTACAATTCCTCTAAAAATGTTCTTTATGATGAGTACCTGTCACCAGGGTTGGTTGCAACAACAGGTTTCAGGGACAAGCCTGGTAACATGAAAAGGTTTCTTTCTAGAAACATCCAAGGTCACTACCTTGTGGCATTTGCACATGCGTTTGTCATTAAGTTTCCTAGGTCTTATGTCTGAATTTTCATCAGATGTGTTTAAAAGCAAAAGCAAAAAAAAAAAAAAAAAAACCCCACAGGATCCTCTCAAGTCCATGTGTTGAGCCATTGTATTTCTCTCCTCTGGCTTCCCGTCATCCGTCAGATGCTTTGCTGACTCAAAGGCAGGGTAACTTTCTGGTACAATAATATGGCCATCTGGAGCAGTCCAAGATCACACCATACCCGATGCCTTACCGAGGAGGCTTTAGGGTCAAGTACAAACCGAAGTGAGGGGCTGGGTCTTTGTCACCTCAGCCTTTGCACCTTGCGACTGCTCCCCTGCAGGTGCACCCGCATCTCATAGGTAGCCAGTGATGTACTTGGCAGTTGGTACAGCCCTGCCAGGGAAGGCAGAGCATGCCCTTGTTCCTTCCAAGCTGGAAGGAAGGTCTGTGGAGCCACCACCTTAGGCTGCAAAGGGTGCACAATTGAGCATTATTATATCTTAAATTTCTCACTGTCTCTTATCAACCAATGGGGAGATCAGCACTGAATTTTCACCAGTTCTTCTTATTACAACATTTAGGAATCCAGTCCTTATTTTCATAGATACGGTCCATCTCAGCAGCTTGATAAAACTATATTCTCAAATAAAACGATGTGAAAGCATTGCTTTTTATTGGAAAGTCAGATATAGAGAGAGGAAGAGCTGTCCGTTGATTCGCTCCCCAAGCAGCTGCAATGGCCAGAGCTGTGCCGATCCAAAGTCAGGATCCAGGAGCCTCTTCTGGGTCTCCCGCATGGGTGCAGGGTCCCAAGGCTCAGCTGCTTTCCCAGGCCACAAGCAGAGAGCTGGAAGGGAAGTGGGGCTTCCGGAATTAGAACCAGCATCCATATGGGATCCTGGCGCCTGCAAGGCGATAATTTTAACTGCTAGGCTACTGTGCTGAGCCCCCATGGATTGCTTTATAACAAAGAAAGTAAATTATCTCTATTCTGAGGGAAAAATTTATCTTAGCTTCTATCACTTAAATATTAATAACACGTTTTCCTTTAAATGTAGTAAATCAGCAAAAATGGAATACTTTAATTAAGCCTATTCTGATTTCACTATTAAAACCACAGTCTATCTCAGTGGTGTGGTTAAGGCTTCTGGACAATTACAACAGAAGTCTAAACACAAGTCACTTGACAAGTGTGTGAAAGGTACGAGAGTTTAGCGGAAAAGATTTCAGAGTTGCATTTTTTTCCAGAATGTTCTCAAGGAAGAAAAGTTTCTGAGGCCTTCTGCGTGGTTGGTCTCGCACTGGCAGTCATGTCTGTGACTTGTTACAATTGTGGCATCCAGGTCATGGAAAAGCGTTCACCCTGGAGACTTCCTAATCGAAGCTCCTTTTTCAGAATCACCAAGTCAGTGACCAGGGTCCGATAGGCCCTGCTCACTAACATGTCTGAGATGGCCACGCCGCGTGCCTTGCCACGTTTGTGAAAGAGCTTGGCTGTACCTTGCTGTGAGCTCTGTGACTCCAGGATGCGGTGAGGCAGCTCTGTGGTGCACTGATCCACTCCTTGGATCTTTCTGGATGTCCCAGGCCCGGCTTGTTCTAAATGCCTGCCACTGAATAGGTGCCTTCACTTGGACCTTAAGAATCTGATTCAAGAATAATTCATTGGACTCACTGAAAATAATTAAGCTCAAAGCCTCAAACAAGACTTCAAGAACACTTCAATACCATTTTAATTGTGAATTCATGCACTCTTAGAAGACTACTCCATTTTACTGAGGTTACAAAAGACTGAATGGCATCAAGGAAATTAATTAATTTTCTTTGAATTTATTACGGCCTTGCAGGTTCTTGGGATTCAGTCTGTGGAATATTCAAACACTGTGACATGTATTTTAATATATCATTGTCCAGGCATTTTTTTTCCCACTTAAACACTGAAAGTATTTATCCTCTCCAAAAATAGCGGGCAGTTACAATGAATGTGATGCCCGTTTTTGGCATTGGCCAGATGAATCCTAAGGGACAATGTCTGGCCAGACATTGGTTCAATCTTTGCATACCACATTTACTGGGCTCCACTAAACACGAGCTGTTGTCTGAAGTCAGTAACAACTGGATGCATCCTATTGCATTTCTCCCAAGTTTTGTGGCTTCCAGCACTTCCTCCTGTCCCATAAAGGGCCATTGATGAGATGGCAGGGGTACCACTAAAAGACACTGGGGTTCCTAGTACACTCCTAGGACTAACAGCCACTGTGTTACATTGGATTTGAAAATAATTGGGCTTTTATCTTTTGTTGGTCTTGTTATGCCAAGAAACAAATGGTAATTGAGCTGCACGTGGATCCTGCCTCACTTGCTTCTCTCTAAGCCACACGCTGCCCTGAGGTAGTGTGTGAACCCAGTCGTCATCACTTCCTGGATGTCAGTGCCCTGCCCCCCCCCCCCCCCCCCGTGACTGACCTCCCCCGCTGCATTCAGACAGAGCCGCTTTTCCAGAGAGCTTTGTGCTCAGGGCCGTTTCAGAAGGCGTCACTCTGAAGGCGCGTGTGAGCGTGGAGGGCATGCATTCAAGCGGGCACATGAGTGCCTTTCCCCCACCTCCATGTAACTGTGTCTTTCCTCATTTGACTGGACAGAGGTCCTGGTGCCCTGCATCAGAAATAGCAGTGGCCGGCTGCCTTGATCTCTTGCTCCCTCTGTCACACGGTCAACCCTGGGCTGCCCAGGAGTCCTCTATCGTTATAACCATAGACCTGAGCAAGAGCAATGCAGCCCATGAGTATTTTCCAAATTGGGAAACCAGGTACTCCGTTACATGTTTCTGAGCCAGTTCACTCTGCTGGGGCAGATCGTCCCGTATGCGGTTGCCTGCCCCTTCTGCCTAGGCACGCTGCACATCGGATGCTTCAGCACCTGCGTGAGTCTGTTCAGTGGAGTCAGGTGGAAGTGAGGGATGTTGCATAACGGGAGAGTGTTGTATGCTTCTGTGATGACCCCAGTTCCCTCCTTCAGTCATGCACTCAAGGTTTTCTGGTCTGTTTCTCTTAGCTATGGGAAGAGACAGAGAAAGAAAGTGGAGTAAGGCTGGGGCAGTCACTGAGACACCAGTAGCTGAACAGATAGGATAAACAGTCTCTGAACACATTCCCTCCCACTGTGTTGGTTTCTGACTCATAGCTTGGAAGCCTCACTAAGCGGTAACAAGTCGGAGGAGGCTGCTTCACTTAGAAATTCATTTCTTCGGGAAAATCTGCCCAAGTTTTCAACTCATTTTTTTTTTATACTCTGACTCTTCCCGTTGTGAAATTATCCTGCATGTGTCTGTCACTTGGACATTATTTAAATACTTGATAAATGCAAAGTGTTTTGCTGTCAGTTCAAGGAAATAAAGTGTAAGTTCTGATTGTTGTTTTAGCAAATGAAAAAAAAAAGAGCCTTTTTAGTAAGGACAAATAATGCAGACTATCCTTTTACATGTTTCCGCTGATGAAATTTGAAGACAAATTCAAGCATCACTATAGTTGTTGCATTTCGTGTCAGAGTGTGTGCATGGAGATATGCAATCACATATACATGCATCTACACACATGGTCGGTTTTCTACTGTCTTTGTCCATCTTTAGGGCTGCAGCTTTCACAGTTCGCTCTGAGTCATGTAAAAGCCAAGTTTTTAAGAGAAAGAAGAAAACTGTTTTTGTCCTTTTGTTTAAAATTGTTTTTTTTTTTTCAATCCTCTACCTTGCCCCCAACCTTCACCCCTCACACACTCATCCTATAGTTCATTCATTCCATCTACAGGATGGAAAGTTTTAAAAGGTATGCTGTAGGTGGTACGCTGCTTAAACATTGTGTCCTCCTTGCAGGCCTGGTTTAACTCTACACTTTTAAAGAGAGGTTTCTATAGAGCTCGTGGTTTTTACAAGATTAGGGGAAGAAACTTATATGATTCTATGGACAGTCGTCTTAAAAGGAAGGTTTTAAAGAAATGAAGTGCATTGCTTGTGCTAAAACCTAGTATTTATAACACACATCCTGTTTTACTCCAGATAAAATACTTAAAGAAATTTCTTCTGGTGGGAACCAGTGAACTTTTTTAAACAGCTTTGGGAAATTTTTTTGTATGATGATTTTTAAAATGCAATGTGTACTCTTCCAGCTAATTGAGGGTTGAGGTTTTCCAGGAGTCGCATTTTAAAAGTGTTTGTACACCTTTTAACACTCGGATACTTTCTATTTTGATTTTTGTATATTTTTATGTATACACAGTGTACAGACTTTTGGCTTGTAAATAAAACATGGTCTCCTTTGTCTAAGAAGTTTCTCTGTCTTAATTTGCGGAACCTACACCTCCGAATGAGTGAATGACAAGATCATGAGTCATTTCCAGGGAAGAGGGACCACAGTCTCACTAGAAGTGGCAAAGGAGAACCTGCAGTGTGTCTGTAGGAGTCCTGAGGGCACAGTCTGGCCTGCGCGATGGGGGTGCTGCGAGTGGGGGGCTGCTTCTAGAGGCGAATTGCCCTACGCAGGAAAAGTACAGTGGCACAACCCAGCGGAAAAGGCTTATTTAGGCTGACAGATGCTGCTGTTGGATGTAGTA